CAACTGATTAGCTTTGATCGGGGTCAGTGGCTCGATTGAGATGGCTAGGATCTCCTCTCGATGATAAATGATTGGAAAAGATTGAGTCATCGCTGGAGTGGCCCTCAAGCTCAACCAGGCACAGATTACAGATTTAGCCAAGCATATTGTTTGCTGCCAAAGATGACAAACGGAATTCCAATCGAAAATCGAGTGCGATGAAAATGTTTGATGTGCAAATCCTCAGAGATTTCTCCCCAACTCTCAATCTTCATCTCTTTGGTTTCCAGAAGAGACCAACGAGAGGGGGATACTGCGAGAGATGTTCCCTTTTTTCATTTACAAATTGTGTGCGAAAATTTGTGGCACGCATTTTGTCTGACTTGCCCCAAATGGACTCGAATGTGTGGCATCCTGACTGGCTTTCTGCCCCCATTCTGTCCTAAACGATGAGCATTTAGTTCCACATCAACGGCAGCTTTCAGACAGCTGTAAAATATTTGAGGCAATCACCGAAGCCATAATAGAGAGTGGTTTTCCTTTCTTTTCTTATATGGCGTGCGAGAGGTGGAGGGAAAATTGTCTGCAATTTCCGCTTGTATATTAAAAATGTGGCAAGCAAATTGAAATATTCCTCGGCTTACCTAGGCTGTCTCTCTCTCCACATACTCGACTCGGATCTCCAACTTCTGTGAGCCATAAATCTTGGCCTAAGCCAGAGCTGGAGCTCATGGACTCATGTGCCCGGGACTCCTTTCCCTTAATGGCCGAGCAAAATGTATTTATCTAAAATTATCCCCGAACAAAGTATGTTCTTTGTCAACGCAAAGCTGCTTTCGAAATTTATGCCATCGCCGCACAAAAATAGAATGCAAACACTCGAAATTGAGTTTTAATAACAGAGGAGCCAGCAAATACAATATGAAAAGGGAATCAAATGAAATATTTAATGAGACATTAATACGCAGTAATCTCGTTTGTAATTAGAAGCGGGTCCCGGTCGACTCTCTGTAATTTCTGTATTATTTGTAGTCCAAATACAGCGTTATGCAGTGGTTGGTTGTGGCTGGGTCTGGGGTTTGTGGTTCTACTTCAGTCTGTTGCTCATATTTGAATATATATTGAATTTTATGTGGCTCTCATTTAAAATTCAAATCAATGACAAAATCTGCAGAGCTAATCAATATTTTCAACGGAGAGTATGGGAAAGAAAGCAATAAGCAAAGATAGAACATAGAAGCGAATACCCCCCACTCACAGCTTCAAACTTTTAGTGCAGTTCCACTGCTGCGTCCAGCAGGCGTATACGCAATATTGGCACTTAATGCTCCTGCACAACCCCATATGCCACTGCCATGCACCACCTTCTAATCAACGAGGCAAACAGTCTATGCAACCGATAAACAATCCCCATAATGAAGACCGCTGTACCCCCAACGGAGATACTCGTAGTTAGCACTCAAGGATTGGAATCCGAACTCGAACCGGACGCAGACACGCACCGAAGCGGACGTGGGAAGATGGCTGCCACTGACACGGACAAACCAACTCGATTGCCGCAACAATTAAATGAATTGCCATCACAGAACACACAGAGAAAGGTACAAAATCCCGTTATTCCTGAATGTGAATGTGTCTATCGTGCTTTATCTATTGCACAATTGTTTAAATCTCTTTTGAAACTGTTCTCCAGGTAGTTCATCTTCATGTCCGAATCGGAATAACAAATTAGATAGCGAATGTAAGGGAGGGCGGACGTGAGGGGATGTCCGGCATTCAAGCAACTCATAAAATATTTATGAACTATGTGCACTATGGACGATGGACCAGATGACCGAGCAACCCTTTGATATGCAAAGGGAGTGGAAGGCGGCATTCCCGGCAGCCGAGAATTTAATTTGTTTAATGCCACCAGGGGATTTAATGCAATGAATGAAACAAACGAATACCATTTAATATCTGTTGACCTAATTTATTCAAATATGTGTGTCGCCTGCTGTGCAGACCTCTAATTTGCATGTGCAACGGGTCAACAGCTTGAACGCTTCGTTTCAATCTGTGTCAAGTGGCGCACTGGACGACAACACCACAACAGCATCCTGCCCCATCCATGAGTGATGGGTGTGCACATTTCGACTATTTAACGCACATAAATTTCCATTATCCTAGGCTAAGTTGTGGTCATTGTTTGGGCACGTACCCGCTTAACACTTTTATCTTCATTTGCCGAGTGAAAGGCGTCAAAAGGGAATGAACTGATTGTCAGATAAACGAGAGGATACGCTTCTGCAAGGTTGTTTATAGTTACGGCTCTTTAGATTTCCCTTCGTTGTATTCAGATCTATCTCTAATCACATTACGTTAGTGTCAGAGTCCAATGTGTTGATTGCCTAAACAGGCAGCCACTCAGGCAAACGAAGTCATAAGCAATTGCCTCAACTTCCATTTCATGCCCCAAAATGATGACACCCGAAATTCCAACACATGGCAATTATATTGGCCCCGAGAGGCGGGCCCCGATTAAGCCAGTGACAGTTCTCCACACAATGGTGGGATACGAGTGTTCCTGCCACCTGGCCTTCTGCCCGCTGGGTGCTTTGCACATTTCCCAAATTAACCTGCCCCGAAACCCACTCACGCACACACAGCGCCAGGCGGAGGCGTTAGTTTAAGCGGGCTGCGTGTTTGACAACCATCCTGCATATGTGTGTGACACTGTGGAAACCATTTCTATTGCCTTTCCATGGAGGAGAGACACAAACACACAGACACAGAAGGACAAACTGTCTGTGAGTGTCACGTTTCGACAGTCAAAACATCCGCTGTGAGTGGCATACGCAAAATACAAGGCCAATACAAAAGGCAAAAACATATCAAATACTCCTAAATACGAATATCCTGGCGAAGCAATGACTTCATTTCGATAGATTTCGCACATATGTATGTATCCCAGATCCATCTATTGAAATCTGTTTACATACTTTGGACAATCGAATGGGGATTCTCGTATCTGTTCGGATGGCCGTTATTTCTGTTGTTCTGCTGCAATAAAATTCAATTGCCGTCTGCCATATGTCTAATTATAGTTCATCCGCACCGATGGCCCGAAGCAGAAAATAACAGAACCACCACGCAATCGGTTTTGTTAGGTTTGCTGCATCGGGGCATGTAAAACTCAATTATGGTAGACTTTTGTGGCATATTAGCGTGCAAAAACCGCAGTGCTCTTGGGCGATTGCATTTGGATACGCCCCTCTCACGTGTGCCTGTAGCTGCCTCAAAACGACTGCTCGATGTGGGTCTGGTAGCTGGCTCTGATGTTGTCGCTGGCAGTCACTTGGTGGCCATAATGTGTGGCCACTAACGTCAAAGCGATGCCAGCCCGAACACCGACACAGGAGCACCGAACATCTTTTCAGCTAGTGTTCTGTGGCTTCTTCCAGTGACTGCCGTTGACTTGGCTACCATTTTGCGGTTTCTACATGTACTTGGAACAGCAGTGCCACCACCAAACAAGCCATAGCTGATAATGATGATGATGGCTGAACATTTGCCAAATCAATTTAGGACATGCGGGCTGTCCTTCCTCCCCGTGGTGTGCGTGGACGTTGGCATAAAATATGTCAAAAGGAAATTGGCTTTAAAGTGGCTTTTAACAGCGGCGCTAAGCAACTTTAGGGCGTAACTTCACCGTTTAAAGTTGAAAGCTGTGGAATATATTGAATGCCACAAAAGTTACGAATTCCGTTGCCTATCTTCAGGGGTCTCATGCCTCAAGTGTCCACAAATGTTGGTCTCTGTTTGTCTTTGTCAACTTTAATGACACCCAGAACTCATTACCCCTGCCTTGGGCATTGTGAGGTCACAGCTGCCACCACCAGTCCCTTCTGAATGTTTGTGCATCCCCATTTGATTATTTGCATGCTGCGCGGCGTTGGCCAAATAACCGATGGCGACCGATGGGGGGATCGAACGGCTATGGCCATACAATCCCGGTGAACAAATATTTGTGCTACAAAAAAAAGTACAGTCCAATAGAGTCCGCGAATAGGACCCGCTATTGATTTCATTTAAAAACACACTCGGGGAAATCTGCAACGGACATTCAAGCCATGAAAACGGAAACATATATGTATGTATGTAGGTATGAGAGCAGCATTGAGAACTCGCCAGGCAGTGGCACTAATAAATTTATAACAAATGACATTGGCCAGCCTAATAAATGTGGACCTATTAATCCGAGGCTCCAGGCAGTGGCGAGTCGAGCCAATTGAACGCACACACAATCCACAAGCATATACGAGCGGGTAAAGAGGGATAATGTAGCAGGACAACGATGTGAACATGAAATATTATTGCCCGGAGAGCGAAAGTAGCAGAAGAGAGGTACAAATAGTTTGATTTACTGGCGCTGCAGCAGCAAAAACGAGGAGAGCCAGAGAGCCCAAGGCCATGCATGGCCCACGGCTGTCATCCGGGTGCTGATAACAACGAATCTCCGATCAATTATGGTTCCATGTATGGTTCCTGTGGTTTCTGCTGCTGGTGGCTTGTAAACAAGTCCGGAACGTGCCCTTAATTAGTTTCAATCAAATAACCAAGAACGTAGGATAAATCAGTGGAACATATGTATAAATTACCGCCCTGTCAGGCAGCTACGGCAGATATCTCTCTTTAACCATCTCTCTGCGTTGCGATTGACTTTTCGTGCCTTTAAGGAGAGTCTTTTCCAATGTTAATGACGCAAGAATGTTTGCCAGGGAGGAGAATTTTACAGCTGCAGTAAATGTTCCATTAAAGCGACATATTACGCACTGCAAATGTTCGGAACTTACGCACGAGCGATTCCGTTTAATGATGTGACAATGAAATTCAGCAAAAATCATATGGGCCATAAAATCACACATAAACCGTGTAGTTAAGGGCTTTTAGAGCTACTAAAGCCTTAGCAGCCATCATCCATTATCCCCATACAATGTAAACAGAAATCGGGCTGATTAAGCAGACAAAAACTGATAATATACTCATATATTAAGTATATTTACTGCATTTATTGCTGTATTTCAGTGGAGAACTAGGTTGGGTTGGCCTGCATATGGTATATAGTATGAATAATTCATGCAATGGTTTTTACAATTTTCCAGACGCGTTTTCATTGCTATTTGTATGTGTAGGTGTAGGTGTAGCTCTGTGTGTTGTTGTTTGTGTAATTATGTCCGTGTGTCTAACATTATCGCAACTCTAATGTGTAGTCTCGATTATGATCTCGTGCGTGTCCAGGTCGGGCACCGCAAACTTCATGGGCAAATAGTCATCGGGATGCATGTGGGACATTTGATTGACCTCTAGTGCGGCCCGCTCATTATCCTCATTGCATTTGCTCTCGTGCTTCTCGTAGTCAATGAACGTATCGAAAATAGCTCGACAAACCATGCACTCAAAGAAACTCCTGAAAGAGGGAAATACATTAGTACTTGGGAGTAGGATGGTCGTAGATTCCTTACGGTTTCTGCTCCGCTTCGAGACGTTCCCTCGCCAGGGCCGCCGCCGCTTGAATCGACGCGGGCACATCGACGTCCACGCCCTCCTTGATGTGCGACTGAAGGTGACGCTTGAAGTTTGAGAGCTGGGTGAACCCCTTTTCACAGTAATTGCACTGGTAGGGTTTGGCGTTGAGGTGTCCGAGCTTGTGCTTCTTGAGGTTCACGAGCTGGGAGAAGTAGCGCCCACACCGCTGACAGCGGAACGGCTTCTCACCGGTGTGTGTCATTTTATGGCGCTTCATGTTGCTCTGCTGCGTGAAGGACTTGTTGCAGAAGTTGCACGTGAACGGCCGCTCGCCACTGTGGACCGCGAAGTGGCGCTGAAGGTTGACTGCCTGGGCGAACGCCTTCGAGCATATGTTGCAGACAAACGGCCGCACGTCGTTGTGCACCTTCATATGGCGATCCAGGTTGCCCGAGTTGCAAAAACTCTTTGCACAAAGCTTGCATTCATAGGTAGTTTTGTTGTGATTATGAACCTCCTGGCGGTGAAGGGTCTGGTCGCGTTTGCTCTTGAACGTCTGTAGTAAGAAATCGTTCGGGAGTTTAGGAAATATACCGATTCATGAAGATACTTACGCGGTCGCAACGCTTGCAGCTAAACTGATTGACCGCAGTCTCGTCGAATTCAACCTCGATGCCCGCCATTTTAACCCTTGCTACAACATTGAGGCGATGCAGTTATGTGTACTGAAAAAGTTGAGCATACTGTAATTGCAGTCTGTGCATGAGAACATCGCGAAAACTTACTTTGAAACTAAATTCTGAAATTGTCTAATTTTCGCGTCTGGAAAAAGTCATATGGTGGGCAAGAGTGTGACCACAGCAGCCGAAGAAAATACCGAAAAAATACCACGCCACTTTTCACTGCGATATACATACTAAATACTCTTTTGGAACGAAATCGTATGTTACTGGACAACTTGTAATGGTTATCTAATGCATAGACAATTCAGATTTTACATCTAGTTCATTGCGAAATTTTTAATTATATATGACTACTTTGCATTGCAAATTGTTTAAGTATAGTGTGGTAGCCGTGACTGCGCTATATAAAAATACCTGCGATAAGTCACTGGTTCACAGTTTGTGGGACGCGCTAGTGTATTTTGCTCGATGCAGATAAATAGAAATAAAAGTAATTTACAAAAATAAAACCATTTGTCTTCAAACATGGCCACCTACTCAAACCAGCATTGGCTGCTGTCCCACATACGCAACTCCTTCATCTCAACCGACGACACCGGGATGTGCGAGACCGTGATGCTGAGCGATGACATGCCAAAGCATTATTTGAGAAAATTCAACTCTTCGGCTGGGGTGGAATCTCACAGGCGGAGACCGTTGAAGCCGCCGCTGGCCAGTGCACTACCGGACAGAAATACACGGCATCCGGATGCGCCAATGCAGGAAGTGGACTTTATGTGCTACCCCGGACTGGACCTGAGCGATGATGAGGTAATATCAAAGAATCCAGCGATTGGAGCAGACTACGGGGCGTGTGAAATTTGTTTTCGTCTAGATCGGCTTTCGACTGGCCTTAACTAACGAACCTAACTATGCACCTATTTTTAATTAATTAATGAATTTCTATTTAGGAGGACATGTCGACACACTCGTTCGACATTCAGATGTACCCCGAGGTGGGGGCGCATCGTTTTCGGTCCAACACTGCCCAAAAGCTGGAGAAACTGGACATTGCCAAGAGGAGGGCGGCGCGCATCAAGAGCATTAACTACAACGAGGAAGTGCAGCCGCCCGACGACAAAGATTTCTTCAAGCGCAAGGAAATACCAAATATCAAGCCAACCATCCCAAAGGAGAAAAAGGCGAACGATGATGAGCTGTCCGACGAAGGGGTGCAGAGCATGTTGACGGAACAACTGGCGAAGAGCCCCAAGCAGACGCAAAACAAGTTCATCGAGTTCGCCCGCTTCGATGGCACCTCTCAGGTGGGCATGCAGACGAAGCGCATCAATGTCTATCTAAACATGCTGCCAGAGCCAGACCGAAACTATCCCCTAAAGGTCTGCGTGCTCTCCACTGCCAAGATCCAGGAGGTTATTGGTTTCGTCTGCTATAAGACCTCCCTGCAGTATCCAGATGTGCCACTGAAATCGTTGCAGCACTATGGCCTCTACATGACCGAGGACAACGACGACATGGAAGACTTCCCGCCTCTAGACAATCGCGAGCCTTGCTCAAAGTTTGGATTTTCGCACCTGACTCTGGCAGAGCGGCGTCCCTTGGCGCCCGTCACCAGGGTGGACTACCCCGGACAGCTGGGCAACAAATCGATGACCTCCGAGGATGATAAGGCCACTTTGGCCGATGCAGCGTTAAGGGCTCTGAAGAATATCACGTTAAACGGAGGAGCAGCCGATCCAGGTGGAGGAGCAGTCGGAGGCGGTGAGGGAGATGGAGACGTCGACGACAGTCCGCATGACAATGTCAAGGAGTACGAGAAGCGCCTGCTCAATCACAACGATATGCTGGAGGCACCCATGCATCGCAGCTTCCGCCTAAACATCATCGACAAGCGTTTCTTCAAGTCCGACGTCACGTTGGGCATCTCCGGCGAGAGGATCGAGATCGACCAGTATAAGAATGCCAAGTTCTGGCCGCAGAAAAAGCCCGTTTCCACGCCCATCGATTTGGTGGCTCATTGCGAGATTGTGGAGAGGCGTCACCTGAAGGCTCTGCTTCGTATCTGGCTAAAGTCAAATTCCTCCTCTTCCTCCCTGCCTTCCGGCTGCACCTCGGCGCCCATCAATGCCAGCGTGACCACGCTAAACACGGGCACGGGCAGCAGCAGTGCCGGGATCGCCCACTCCCCAAGCAGTCCGGGAAACTCTTTCGGCTTCTTCATGACCAGCAATATTCGATTTAAGCACTACGACTTCGACACTGACACCCACACAGCCGAGCAGATCAACAGCAAGCTCAACTGCATCCTGGAGATGCGGTCCAGTGAGCTGCGGCGGGAGTTCCTGCAGCAGCGTGAGCGCAAACAGGAGCGGCAGCAGGTGAAAAAGCAGCTAAAGTTGTAGTATTTATTCCTGTGGCGGTGTCTCCTGCGAGAAAAGCTGCTCGTGTGCCTAGCAAGCGGGCCTCTCTATTCGCCAGAGCCACCGCCTCCTCCTTCGACTAAGCCTAAATCCTACGCCTAAGCCTCCGCCTCCGCCTGCGCCTACCGTTCGATAAGTTGTATTATGTAGTTGCTAACTAAAGATTGTGTTACACATGTTTAAAATAGCCTGTAAGTATTTATTGAACACACTTAACTACGAAAGCCCGATCCTGAATATAAACCCACGCATTAAAGTTCATTCCACGTGTGTTTACTGTCGATCCGATCTCCAAGTCAGAGACGCGGTGCAGCGCCAGCTTCCGCCTCGACTGCTTCCAGCGACTGCAGCGCGATTTCCATGCGGCTTACTAGTGTTTTGTGCTTCCGATTTGCTCGCTCCCTCGCTCTGACATTGCAATGGCCCGCAATCAAAGTGCAATTAATCTAGCAGCCGCCCCAGACGGGCACGGGCCTAACGGTAGTCTGTATTATTGCATATTGTTCATTTTCTAAAGTTTATTTTTAGTTTTGCAATGTCAGCGCGATCGCTGTGTGTGGGTTGGGGTTGGGCGCCTGTGTTCCCCTGTTAATAGATTTTCAGCGTTCTGCTGTAGCTGTGAAAATTGATCAACTGCCGTTAGATGATTGCCATAGATATATGTATTTACCAGTCGCATACTATTATATCGGTTGTTCCATCATAATGATTCGTTCTAAGGCCAAGGTTGTCAGCACAAAATCACGCCAAAAAGTCGCGACTAGCGCGCGACAATTGAGGTCATGTGGATGATGATGATGATGCCGCTCGGTGCTGGCGTGACCATATCGAGGCAGTGAACAGCACTCAATTTATGGTTAATGATTCACGGGAGCTGCTATTCCCAGAGGAAGTCGGAAAGGTGAAATGCAAGTTTCGCAAATGAGACAGGGCTCGGCATCGCTCATACGCCCAAAAACATTTCAAATATGTCTGAATGACTAACAATCGGTCAAGATCTTAAATTCTTGATAAGTAATAAAAGAAAACGCCTATTCCCAGGCCACATACAATGTCTGTAGTGTCTTGTCCAGGCTCCACTTCTCCAGTTCTCCACTTCTCCAGTTGGAGTCAAATGATTTATGCCTATCGCGCACAGCCTTGGCTGAAACTCAGGCCCATTCTTTCCACAGACAAATTTGAATATCTCATGCAATTTGTCAAATACATGGCGCGAGTTCAATGATATTTCCACACCCCTCTCACACTTCCACATTGAATTTATTATCGGCAAGTGCGTTGAGAGCGACAAATTGCCTTCAGAGTGCGGCTTTTCTTGGTTCTCAGTGTGGGCTTTGAGAACATTTCACGCAATGAAGCATAATCGCCAGCTCATTTGCCTAATGGCATGCACCAGACCCAGACCCAGACCCAGACACGACTTGTTCCGTTCGGTCTGTGTGTGGTTACAAGGATGCAACGGCCACTGCAACTACAACTGCGACTTCAGCTAATTGAAAGTCAATAAGTGCACTATGTATAGGCGGCAGCAACCTTGACATTGAAACCGAATGACAAACGTTGGCGAAAAGTTCACTCGATATGAAAGTTGCCAGGCATTTTCCAGGTGCAGGGGGCCATAATGCGGTGGGCGGGGCCAGAGACCGACCTGGCACGCACTGCGAAAAACACTACAACGAAATGTGAAAAAAGTGAGCGGACCTCGTTGTCAATTTATCAATTGCATAAAATAATAGGCCTAGGCGCATAATTTAATGTCGCGTTGTTTGTTTGCCATATTCTGAAGGCCACCGCCGCTGTACATATGCTGTACGATATTCATATTCATATAGATATATTCAGTGAAATATATATGCAGATTAATCACGATGCAGCTAGAAGAAATCGCTGGACAGAGGCAGCCACAAACTGAGTCACGCAACCGGAGCCTGATCCAGAGCCAGACCAGGGCATTGGCATTACTTTGATTATCGTACTCAAAGATAACCATACTAACTTCCAATTATAAATATTTTTGAGCAGTGCCATAACCAACCTTAACGTTTCGATCAGATTTATGTGTTGTTTACTCAACATTTTCAGTGTCGAATGTCTGGAAACTCTGCTTCCGTTTTCATTATGAAATGCGGGGAGAATTTTAATGGCTTAATGTTCGTGGGATCAGAATCTGAGCAATAATTGAGCCACTGATAGAGATTAATAGCATATTGTCTAACGGGAACTCGCATGCATTGAATACTGTTGAGAATTGTTGGAATAATTCTCCAATTTCATAGATCAGAGCTCCCTTTCTGTTGCCAACAGATTTGTTGCAGGGGCAATAAACGTTGGGTTAACTTTAACCGCGTGCCGTACATTATGATCATGTCGGTTATTTCATTATGGCCATAACATTTTGCACATACCATAGACCAACCCACACGGAGACAGGCGTTGCCCATGCCCGGCCCTGCCCCAATGCGTTGCACGCACCACAGACTCGACTCTGTGGTCGGCGGCGACTCCAGCTGACTGGAGGCATTCACAAAACGTTTGCGGCACCAAAATGCAATTTTAATTGCACAACAATTTCGGATTTGGATTCGGGGCTGAAAAGTGCGAGGCCCAGGCTTGTTCTCTCGAGCCTGAGACATTTGTAACCCAATTCTGTCGCTCGAGAAGGGGAAATCGCACTTCGCACTCGCACTAGCACCACCACTAGCACTCTACGATTTCCATTTTGAACGATGGAGTTTAATTAAAAGCGTGCGGTGGAATGGAATGAAAACTATATAAAATATGTAACGCCAATTGTGGAGGTCGTCAACTGACCACCGCCTGGACGCAACCTGTTACATCTGAGAATCGCGATGCCGATGCCGATGGCCGGCGGCGGTGTTGTCTTCCTGCCCCAAAACCCGAAAAGCCCAAAACTAAAATTGTGCAGCATCGGCATCAGCCGCTGCCAAGGTTGCCCCCGTCGCACTGTCTGTGGAGGCTTCCCTAATGAAGTGCCGAAACCTGGGCTCGTTGCAGGCACTTGACTTCACTCGATTCGGACTCGGAACTGGTTTCGCACCACAATCTCAAGTGGATGCCACCGGGTCAGTGCTGCCTGGCCCTATATACAGGTGGTGGTGATTGCAACTTGCAGACAAACGAGGATCGTGCATCCGAAGGTTGCAATGCCCTTGCCCTGAACCTGTTTTCCCGAACGAAATAAAAAAAGGTTCTGAGTTATGCAATCCAGGTGCGTGCGCGTGCGCGAGAGCTGGTATTCCTTCTCGTGACCCACTTTTGGCAGGCATAAATCGATTGAGCGGGGCACAGCTTAAGGATCATAATTCATTAAATTCACTTGCATAATATCCGTAATTTATGCAGCATCCACAACAGCTTCAACTGTGAAACATTGAACTTGAGGTGAGGTGAGGCTGCTGATTGCCAATTGTCTGGCTGCCTAGTGTCATGCAATCTAATGAGCTGGAGAGTTGATTCATGCAACGTGATTGAAATTGATGAAAACAGGGAGTTCGGGAGATGCAAAATGAAATAAAATATATTAAAATTGCTTTAAAGTCAGAGCAGTCAAATAGCAATTAGACTTTTGCCCAGCTTCTTTCCCGCCCCCACGCAATCGATCTCCAAACACTTCAAATTTCAGTGGAAACCTTTGCGTAGGCTCAACATCCAAAAACGCGTGCAAAATGTCAACCGAAGGACAAACTTCTGCTAACAACAATTGCTAATGTACGCCGATCACTAGCAGATCGGCTATACCATGCCAAACCATACCATACCGTAGCTATAGTTGTGGATCGATGGCCCTGAACGCGCATACAACTTCGTCTCGGGCTCGTGTCGAAAAAAGTGCAAAAAGTAAGTAAAGTAAACGCTAAATAAAGGCAAATAAATGCGTGAACAAAGCAAACAAGCAACAATGCAGCATAAGGCTTAAAAATTGGCTTTTAGAGGCAATTTGGAGTCAGCCTGATTACGCGCCCCCGCCTTCACCTGCACCCTCCGTTGACCTACCTCAATGTGTATCTCCACTTCCTGGATTAACTCGAGCTCTGGCAAACAATCAAAAGCTCTATTAATCTATCTCAGATGGACACGCCTCTCGCTTGGAGGCTGCCGAACGGCAGAAAGAAACATAATCATATTTTTATTTTTATTAAATAAATCATTTGCCATTTCTGTTGTGCTACCAGCAGCAACAGCAGCAAACAAACAATAAGAAATCAAAGTTATTATTGTGGCTTTGTGTGCCAGTGTGTCTGTGTCTCTTACCGCAAGGTTGCAAGTCTTGGTCTTAGGTTTTTGTTGCTTTTTCCGCAACATAATTTACTTGTTGGCAAATCAAATTGTTGGGGGAGACCACGACCAGTGTCAGTGCCACTGCCACTGCCACTCCAACCGAAATGAAATGCTTGTCGTCAATTGGCAAATTAATGAACATTCGATGGCCATTTGACCTTACATTAAGTATACGCCTCCTGGCCTGGCCGGCACTTGCAGTAGCAGCCGCCGCAGCCGCATCGGCACTATGGACGGTTTACCTCATAATTGGATTGCAAACGGCTGTTGCGCCTCCTTGCATTCTTGTTGAATTTTATCAGTTCAGTTTTCGTTGTTAAGTAAACACCAGATACTCGTAGCATGGGGACCAGCGGGGCTGATGCAATAAAAAGACGACAGTGCCACAGAATGTTTCATAAAAGTGGGGTCCGGTCTGCTAAAAGGATTAGATTTCCATATGCATGAACTCGATGATATAATGGTTGAAATCATGCCCCCACAGCAAAGCAAAAGCCGAGAGAACACAGTCGTGCACTTGAACTTGCACTTGACATGCAAATTGCCGAGCAGAGACCAGCCGCTGCACTCGTAGAATAAATGAGATGCGAGTCTCGAATGCTGCAGTGCCACTAACTATTTGGGGAGGACACCCCTAACAGATTAAGTGGTTCTAGGCGGAACTGGCCGGACCGGCAGCGCCCCTGCCATTGATTGATTGCCTCTCCTCCACTGGACACTCTGCCTCGAGTGTCTAACCCTCAAGCGTGCCATTTCCTTCCTGCTTCCCCTATAGATACGGGTGAGTAGAGTGCTGCTGGACCTGGACCCGAATGTAAGCTTGCATGTTGCATAGTAAGTGTGCAATTGTGTGTGCTTGCAACGAGGTCACTGCGATGTCGCGACAGCAGCAACAAAATCACTGCTATCAACATTTACTATTGCTAAACGAAAAGCACTTTCCCAATTTTCGCAAAATGCGAACGATCAATGCAAATCGGAAGTGCCTCGAATTGTGTACCCATGTGTGTGTCTCTGAGTGTGTGTGTGTGGGACAGAGAACACTTTATAAGAAATAAAATTCATAAAAAATCGGGCAACAACAAAAAGCTGACAAATGCATTGAGCAAATGCGATTGTCGCACCGCTTGTTGTTGCTTTTGTTATTGTCGGTGTTTGTTGCCTTTTGTTGTTGTTCTTGTTGTTGGCAACGCAACAAGTTTCGTGTGTGTTGCCAATAAGTTGTCGCTGTCGACGACGCCTGCGCCTCTGCTGACTTCTCTCTCTCTCTCCCAGGCGGCTGTCTGTTTGCTTGAGATACGCTTGCCGAGGGTACAATGATATGGAGCAGATGTTTGTCAAGCAGATAAGGATAGATTTCCGACCCCATAGTGTGTACAGAGATCATACATAATTTGTGATATATTAATCAGAATTAGAGGACGTGTCGAAATGGCCATCAAAATATATTCATTAATTTGCCAATGGTGGGGCAGTGGTCATAGTTCCTCCCACAAGGGAACATGGAAAGGATCGGTTGAAAAATACATTAAATTTGTATATACAAAGTGGGCCAAAAATAATAAAATATATGTTTCATATAGCTGACATTGGTCGTTTTGTCAGTCTTTGTGCCAAAAAACTTAAATTTTTCTGATGAACCAGCCGATTGGCCTGTGTGTTTTGATAGCTTTAAGAAAATCAATTGAAATCGATAAATGCATCGATCTGCTAGGGTATCAAAAGCTTCGGCCCCCAATTGTTGTTGCTGTTGCTATCGTGCGTACTTGGACTCTCAATAACGCTGCTCGGCGTCGCCGTCACCGTCACCGTCACCGTCGCCGTCTCCCTCTCATATGGTTGTTGCCGCTGCCCGCTGCCACTGCGGCGGCCGCTGTAAGCCCCAACACACGAAAAAAGCATGAACAAAAATCGAGACGAAAGCAGAGGGTATTTAACCGACCTCAAATCAATTTGCAATTTCAGTCGATCTCCGCGTTGCAGCGTTGCATGAACTCAATCAAACTCTCGTGCGAAACAGAAAGTTGAACGCAAAAATTATAAACTGTTTTCGGTGAATACCTTACGGAAATAATTAGTGAGGAAACGGGCAACAACAACAACAAAAACAGTAACAACAATTACAAAATCTAAAACAAGACAAATATCCTAAATAAAACGGAACGGGAAAAATTTCCCAAAACGCATTCGAAATTGTAAATTGAACTTTTATTGAACAACATTGGCAATTGGTGTCAAGCGCGGCCTAGAAAAAGAAATAAAATGAAATAAAACTCCCCGAATATACAAATTCCGAGCACGTTGCAGACAACATTACGCAAACAACAACTAAAGCAACAGAAGCAACAGCGACAACATTTGAACAGCTGACTTTCGTTCAATGAACGGCTAGTTAAAGAGGCAAAAGTTACACAAATGCAGACAAAGCTCCCCGCTTCCATTTCCATTCCCATTCCAATTTGACTTTTCAATGTAAGTGCATCTCGAGGGAGAGGAGAGCTTTTCCAACTGAACTTGAAAGTGAAAGTGAAAGAGAGAAAGAGAAGCAGCTGCGGCGAGAGATATAGCACGATCAAGAGAGAGACTTGAACGAAGCGCTTAGAGTTTAGAGCGGCGATTAGAGAGTAAGAGACTGGCAGCAGAAGCTTGCTACCGGAATAAGAGAGTCGAAAAAGAAAGACAGCAGAAGCTGCCGAATAAGAGAGTAGCAGTCGCAGTAGCTTTTGCTGGAGTGCCAACGACATCTCAGAGCATCAGCCAAGGTCATTCGATCAACATGAGCAATCCCCAGGAGACCGAGCACGCGTACGCGGTGAAGGCGCCCCATGCCGGCGAGGAGGGGCACATTTTCGTTGTAAGTCCCGTGCCAGCATCAGCGCCAATGCCAGCACCAATTCCATTGCCAGCTGTTCCCATTCTGACAGCTGTGCCCGTGATGAGGCCCCGCGATCCGCCAGCCGAGGTGAGGCGGAGGGATGACGAAGATGAACAACCTTGCTGCAGCTCCCAGGCGATAGTGCCACTCTCCTCATCGCTGCCTTCGAAGCTGCTGCGTTTCCACGCCAAACGTTCGGCCCAGGCGCTGCTACGCCAGATGGAATCGCTGGACTCCCAGCTGGGCAGCAGTGGGGGAAGTTTTTCGGAGGACACCTCGCCCAGTGCCCCGCCAATGTCGCCGCCAAACGGCGACCAACTGCTCGTGGATGTGGGCATGGGCTCCTCCATTGGTGACTCCGAGGAATCGGAGGAGGACGATGAGCTGAAGCCCCTGGCTGTAGACAACCACATCATGCACGAGGTGGATCTGTCCGAGCGGCAAACAACACCTCCGGCCGTTCTCAGCGAGGCTAATCTCGAGAAGTTCCGCAAGCACCAGATGGACAACATCTACCTCCATCCGAACTTTACCATGGACACTTCTCCGCCACCCGCTGTGGCCCCCGCCAACTCCCCCGTGCCAGAGCCTCGCAGGGAGCACCGCTCGTTTCTCTCCATGAAGAAGGACAAGGAGGTGGAGGAGAGAGTGGTGGAGAAGGTAATGGAGCCGGTGGAGGCGACATCTCAACTGCCCAACGAAATTGACAACATGGATCCTTCTCTTATTCCGAGCGAGGAGTTGGCCGCAGAGATCACCGACGCCGTGGAGTTCTACTTCTCCAACGAGAGCATCCTCAAGGATGCCTTCCTGCTGAAGCACGTGAGGCGCAACAAGGAGGGATACGTGAGCCTGAAACTGGTTTCTAGCTTTAAGCGTGTCCGCCAGCTGACCCGCGAATGGAAGACCGTTGGGGATGCTGTGCGTCGCAAGTCCAGGAAGATCGAGCTGAACGACCAGGGAACAAAGGTGCGACGCATCGACGCTCTGCCCAGCTTCGACGAGACGATGCCCTCGCGCACCATCGTGGCCTGCGATCTGCCTATGGACAAGCTAACAATCGAAAAGGTCTCCGATTTGTTCTCCAGATGCGGCGAGATCGCCCTGATCCGCATCCTCAAGCCAGGGATGGCCATACCTGTGGATGTGCGTCAGTTCATGAACAAGTATCCGGAGCTGCAGCAGAAGGAGTGCGCACTGGTGGAGTATCTAGAGTCCTCCTCCGCCCGCGACGCTCGCCACCTGAGCGGTCCCTTCCAGGTCTACGAAATGGTGGCCCCCAAGAAGAAGACGGGCAAGAAGGCGGCTGTCATCCAGGTCGCCGCACCCGTGGCCCGCATGGTGGAGAACTACCGCTACTACAACGATGCCAGCTACGAAAGGTCCCGCGGCGGCAGCTTCTCCGGCCACGAGACCGTGCCAGACCTGCGATTCAAGCTCAAGCGCAACAACTCGGATTTCCAGCAGAGTTTCTACCAGGCGGCAGCCCCACACTTCCACGGCGGCCACGGAAATCCCTATCAGCACTACCAGCCCAGGGGCAGCATCGGGAACCAGGAGAGCGCTCCGGCTGGTTTTTTCTCCTATGCACCCAGACGGTACAGCAATACGTCGACCATCTCAGCCAACACGGCGGCTGCCTTGGGCGATGCCTTGCCCTCGCCCTCTGCTGTCGTCGGACCACCCAGTGTCAGTAACCCGGTGTCCAGCATGAGCAGCCTGCAGCGCCGCCTGTCCAACTGCTCGGATCAGAACTACAGCGCGGAGGCGAATGCCCCACTGTCCCGCAGGACCAGCAACTGTTCGGAGACGGGTGCTCCTCAGCGGCGGGACTCCAACTGCTCGGACAGCTGTCCCTGCTCGAGGAGAGTCTCGGACTTCGGACAGGCGGACACGGCATACCGCAAGACCTCCGTCTGTTCGAATGGCAGCTGCCAGGGCAACAGCGGGGAGCGTCGCTTCTCAAACGGATCTATGCAGTTCGAGCGCACCTTCTCGAACGCCAGCGAGAACAATGGGTTCTATCGTCGTCCCTCCAACGACTTCAACCTAGAGCGCGAGCCGATCCCCACCGATCAGATGGTGGGTGGAGGAGGAGGCGGCTACCAGGTGTGGCCCCGCCGCTACTCAAACAATTTCCAGCAGCTGAGCAACAAGCTGGCGGCCTACGACAATGCTCAGTACATTGGAGGACGTCGCATATCCACGGACTCTGGCTACGATCGCCGCTACTCCTTTGGATCGGAGTTTGAGGGATCGCCACGGTCTCGCACTGGCAGCTTCCTGAGCAATTACAAACATGGGGGTGTCGATGTATACGACGGCCAACCGCGATCTCGCACTGGCAGTTTTCTGGACGGATCACCACGCTCCAGGTCCGGATCCTTTGCACAGCGGGCTGCTGAGAGCCTCGTCCGCACTCCCATAGGTCCGGATGGGAGCAAGGGGTTCGGACAGCGGGCTAGAAAGTTCGGCCAGGACGTGTCCCCCGTTAACTAGAACACACGGCTGAGTGGGGGGAATTGTTGATTACTTTTAGTGGGAACTCTTTGTCTACTACTCGTACTCGTACTAGATTGTGAAATTAATGGCTGTACACTGTGATGCTGTCCACCCTGTAATATGTATGTACTATATATCCCACTCACACGATCCGATTCCGTTCCGTTCCGTTCCGAACCACGCCCCCAGTCCATAGCCCAACTTAGGATAGTAATCGAATTTGTAGTTCATAAGTTTACCTTCAAAGTTCATGGGGTCTTGGGGTAGTTAATGTGGAGTTCTCTTGCTCAAGATCAAATCTATAATCCATATATATCATTCTTCTACGCAACGCTGCCAATACTTTAAGATCAGAGGAACGATTCTTGGTTATTATAAGGGTTCTTAATGCATTACTAAGTTGAGTTGATAGCTAGTAGGTTCTATAAATTATATTTTATATCAATCGTTATGTTTTCACAAACTATTTTATAACCTGTTGACTACTTATATAGGAAGATAAATACACCATTAGATACATATTTCCTAATGGGTTGACACACTTTATGGCCAATCTATATAAAGATTTACTAGTGTTTTTTATCGTTAATAAAAAAAACTTAATTAGCTTAGATGTAGGATAGTGGAATAACGAGTGGCTGCCATAAAAAACAGTTCTAGAAATGTGGCCATAATACGGATGTTGGAGTTGGAGAAAGGTTCGCAAAATTAACTTGATTAGAGTCTCAGGTCCATAGATTAATCATTCGTTGGGCAAGAGGAACTACAGCTCCACATTTTCCACCAACCCCCACTAAATCTTTTATTTGTTTTCCAATTCAATATTTTTCTTCAGCTGTAGCTATAGTTAGACTAATGATTATCTATATGTGTATCTACTAGGCTTAGTCTTGATTGTCCTCTCGCATGGAGCCGGAGGAAACAGCAAAACGGATTATTACAGGAGAGAATAAAAATATTTTTCATTTTTAGCTTTTAATTTTGATTTCTTACAGAAGCATTGCAATAAATTATACTCGTATTATATGTGTGTTAACCATAAATAAATATATTTGAACAAAAACATCGCTTTTTTCGCCCCGGTGATCGTATGGGCATTATTATTAAGTCCATTGTTACAATAATGAACTTGAAATGGAGCTTAGCCAGCAATTTGCTGTCTTTTTGCCAAATCATATACCGAACCGAACCGAACCGAATCTAGCGCAATCGAAGGCAGCCCCCAAACTGAAAGCGAAATTGAAATTCGCGCCACTCGAGAACCGAAGGTAACTAGGCCAACGAAAACGAAATAGCCACACAATATACTGGTACTCGTACAGCAGATCTCAACCAGACTGCCTTGCCTGTGAAAGCAACAATTTGAATTATATTGAATAATATTCGTAATTTCTGATTTTTTGCCCGAAAAATTTGTCTTCATACAAGTGACATGAGCGAGCGAGCGCCGCAAAAAGCGTGACGCATGCGCCCCCAACTCGGATCCGAACTCGCCCGCGGTTCATAATTGTTCATAAAGCGGCCGTTAGCATTGTTACTGCCTCTGCTGCTGCCGCTGGAGCCGTTTTTCGAGTACCCATACCCATACTCATATTCGTACTCGTACTCATACTCACACTCGTATCTTAATCGTTGCCGTGCGTGCGATTTGTGTGTGTATTTTTTTTGCGGTTCCAAGGTATTTGTTGTTCAATTTTCAGTTCATTTTTTGCTTCATTTTTCGATTTATTAAACAATTTCCATAGGTATACTCGTGTACGATATATGCGATTTTTGCACACACGCATCGGGCAGTGCCGCCCACTCCCACTCTCCGGGCCAAGAAGAAACCCGTTTGGAAGCCTGGCCAGCGGCAGTGGCTGCCTGCATGCCTGAACTAATTGTCGCACAATTTTTCACCGCGTGGGCCAGAAGCAGGCCAGCCCCAATATTAGATCCCATCGTGCCACGGATGCATGGTTGCCGGTGGGCAACGGGAAGCGTGTTGTGCGTACCGCTTGCATAACATCCACAGCCACAGCCACATCCATAGCCAGCCAAATTGGGAGAGTAATCACAGAGCACGGGTTCATGTGATCTGATGATTAAACTTCCTGCCAGGAGGCTGCTAAATTCCCTTTTAAATTTATGCTAATTAAATGTACTGAAACAGGAACCGAAAACAGGAAAACTGAAAGTTAAATGAGAAACCAGTCGGGTTATTTTCCAGAACAACTTAGTGGCAAGGGTTCATCCAGATCTTGATGGACCTGTGGGGGTTCGGCTAAAAATAAATGATGTAAATTATAAAAAACGAGTCGGGCATGGCATCCATTTTGTTGGTGGGGAGTTGGAGACTCCCCACCGATGACATAATCTGATGTGTATTGAACTGACATTTGCTGGCTCGATTCTCGACTCTCAACTTTCGTTCCATTTGGAGACGATGCCGATGCTGCCTGACCTTAGCCAGGTCTACACTTTTGGCAAGATATTGCATCCTTGAGGTGGCTAAAAATGTCTCAAAGCCTTCAATGCCGGCCTCTGTGGCAGATCGGTGGCAGTGCGTACAACGTGCCGAGTGGCAAGTGGTGCCTGCCTCAACCTTGGCCGTCATTTGCCGGTGGCATTAAGAAATTTAACCACATTACACGGCCACACTGCGTATACTCGATGGGGCTTTACTTCCGGCAGTCGCATGCGCTCCTCCGCTCATCTCTTGTCTGCTCTGCTCTGTGCGATGTAGCGCCAAGTCATCTTCAAGTTCAGGACAAACTGATACAATATTTATTTATAAATAAAAGCAACCTTAGTTTCAGTCTCAATTAAGCGTTTTGTACTTGAAGTGCGCGTAGAAATTTCCGCACAACATTATTAACATTGCCAGTCATGTCGTCAGTCATCATTTCTGTTCGGCTCGGTTCGCATTGATATAATATTGTAATGCCAAAATGAATGAGGTGTGCGGTGCGGCAGCTGTGCGTACTTTTATTTTTCAGTCTCAATTGCACAAACATCGCGACGATCGATGCTGACCTCAACACGTTCGTTCTCACTACGCAATTGGCTAACTAAAACAAATACGAGTCCACTAAAATAATCACAAAACGAAATTACAATTCTATTCTTTGTACATGAGGCGAAAGCAAATTATAATTCTGAGAATCAAGCCATAAAAATGATATTCGGGAATATCCCGAAATCGACTGCGTCTCTAGAATTGTTTTTTGCAAAAGTATGCCGCAGTAGTGGATGAATCAGTACTGACCTAGCCCAACCGACAGATTGGGTACCTGTCGGTACCACATTCTAGAACAATACATACGATGGATGGACACCTAATGACCAAATATTAGGGATGCTGAATGTTATATGTATTGATATATGGATGGATATGGGATTGGATTGGCAGTTAATTGGCATAATGCAACATTATGTGCTTGTACGATTGTCTGAAATTGCATGTATTTTTAATAGGGATCTACTTGTCTTATGCGGAATGATTCGGAGCTCTCACCTTTTGAATGCTCTGGATGACCATAGAGATTTGTGATGTATCTGAAAGATTTGCCGCACAGATTGCACTGGTGTAGCTTTGCTGACGAGCTTTTCGAATGGCTGTCAGTAATGCGCTGCCTTAATGGCACATCTTCTTGGTCATCCTCCGTATCGCTGAAGTGGAATATGGCACGCTTTTTGATGCCTGTACGGACTACAGAATCGGAGGATCGGCCTGGACCATGGTCAACTGGAAATACGCCGTTTTTTAAGTGGGAAATTGGAATTGCCGACATTTCGCTCACCTCAATCTTGGATAGCTCTCCAGCAATAGCTGATAAAAGGTCTTCTCAACAAGGTGCCGGAATTCAATCCAGTAACATCCCTTTTGAAAAGCGAGCCTATTTTTTATAACAGCACACTGTTAGGAAGAGCAGCTGATTGCGCCTGACAGCACACTTTAAAAATCAGATGCTAGCTGGTGCCGGGGATGCGACTGGCGCCATCTGCAATTTCGCAGCAACGAGGTATGTATTGTATGCAACAAAATTCAAATAGTTCAAGAAATTGCCGCTGGAGCGCTACTGATCGCAGAGTTCAAGTAGTCTGGCAGCTCTGTTATCTTAGGCAATAATTTTATTTTTGAATAAATAATATAATGTTAGTGCAAAAATCCTCGAAAAATCTAAAAGAAAATAGTTAAAAAAAAAACAAAGATTTATGTAAATTTTGATTGCTGTTGTGCTATTTAAGTACTTTTATTTTTTCTTTCATATTTTGTAATACTTTATCTTGTGGGCAAAGACACAAATTCAACTACATTGGCTTGTTGGGAAGGGGGGGATGGGTAGTGGAGGTTGATTAACACTAATATATTTTAAATATAGCTTTCCACATCGTTAACTTAACATTCTTAGGTATTTTGTCTGCTGCTTTCGATCAATCAGGCGCTAATACATATATTGACTATCAATTAAAATAATTCAAGGTACTATAGATACGACATTAGCTAATGCCTATTAATATACTTATGCTTTGTGCATTCAATTTGACTATTCTTTTGATGGTTTTCGGCCCACTTGGGGGACCCTACTCCTACTGATACCCACACCCGTGTGTGCGTAGACTACGGTCTGCCCCCTTAGATCAGGCTGATGCTCAGACCTCGGGGCAGCCGCAGGCCAGAATGCTCTAGGCTGGCTTGGTGGGAAATTTCCACGCTGCTTTCTTCATCGTGGCTCTGTGGCTCTTCTTCCTCGTCCAGCTCCAGTTGCACTTCCTGTTCCTGCAACACTTCCATTTCCTCTAACTCGTTTGCTGCCCCTTGCCCATCCTCGTCCTCCTCCCTTTCATTGGTAATTGGATAGCTGAGGCATCGCCTTGCGGTGGTTGGCGGTGGGGATGTTGTCAATGATGACGCCACTGGTGCTGGTAGGACCTCGGATATGACGCTATCGAATTCCAGCAGGACTTCATCATCGTCGAGGGTTCGCGTCCAGCGCGGTCGCTGCTTGGAGGGGCTCATTATTTGCGGAGGGCGGGGAGGTGGAGATGCGGTTGAGGTGGTGGGTGCTGACGATTCTGATGCCTCCCCGTCCATTGAGCTCTCTCTGCTGAGCGTGGTACCCAATCGTCGGAACATGGCCACCACCTTGCCATCGACACTCGGCTGGGCGAATCTTTGGTGTGCCTGAGATGGAGCTGAAGCCGGAGCAGGTGCCGCATCCGGTGCCGCTGCCGGTGCCGATGGTAAGGTGTCCTCGTTGGTTAACTGGTGAGCAGTGGCACCTGCTGCTGGCCTCTCCATGGCCACCACAGCTGGCTTCCGCCGAGGCGCCACACCTTGCACCTTTCCCAGAAGATTACTCTTCTCCTGGAACTGTCGGAGGTGGTCATTAAGCGACTGTTGGGTTATTTTCTTTGGCTGCGACCAGAACTTGACGCTCTCCAGGTAGCACTGGCGGAGAATCTTGCTCATACCATCGACGGACCCAAAGCCTCTGCTGCTACTCCTCTTTCTGTAGGTGATGGCCGCCGGAGCAAGATTGACATTGTTACGGAGCTGTGACTGGTTCGGGCCGCGTAATCGGGGCTGCACGCGAACCCGGGATTGGGCTCGAATCCTTGGCTGGGATTGGGGCTGTACGCGCACACGTGCTTGTTGTGGCTGGGGCTGGGGATGTTGCGGGAACAGCGCCTGGGGCTGCACACGAATATGGGGCTGTTGCTGGAACTGCGCCTGGGGCTGGATTCGTACCAAAGGCTGCTGCTGGAATTGTGGTTGAGGCTGCGGCTGAGGTTGGACGCGTACTCGCAGTTGTTGGGGCTGTGGCTGGGGTTGGACGCGGACCAGAGGCTGAGACCGGGGATTAACGCGTACCTGTGGCTGCACATAGGCCACCGGACGACCCATCCGACGCGCCCGCTCTTCCGGCAATAGACTGCCGCTGCTGTTGTTGCCCATTTGGGCGGAGGGGCTCTGACTCTGGCTGTCGGCATCGTTGCTGTTCAGGGCCTGCAGGGAGTGCCAATTGATAAGCCAGTTGTTGCAGCTGAAGCACAGAAACTTATCCTCATTGAGGGGCTGTAATTGGAGAAGAAGAATGCGGGTGAGACATTGAAAGATAATAGTTTGTATAATAGATCGATACTCGTATTCGATTCATCGCCGAGCTGCACAACCATTTGTAATCCTAGAATGTTTGGTGACCCAAGTGTCGTTAGTCCTCCCCATTTCATGTCCTGTCACCTCTAGCCAAGCATAACCACAGAATAAACCTTTCGAAAATTACGATACGCCTATGCACTTAGTGATCGCTCTCCGAGTGACCACTAATGAGGCTCGAGCTCGAACCGAACCGTGGAGAACTATGTATCTGCAGTCAAAGGTGCAAAAAATATCATATCAATTTTGAAGCGACTGCCAGGCGAGCCTTGAGCAGGCCAGGCATATTAATTACCCAAGAGCCAACATTCCTCGGGTATCAATAATTTCGTGCACCTGCCCAAGAAACCATTGCGCCCAGAAGAGCCCAGGCAGCATTAATAGCGGCCGCGGCAGCGTCAGCGGCAGCAGCAGCTGGCCCAAAAGGCCCAAAAACCAGTCAAAGCCAAAGGGATATTCGGTTAGCCAGAAGCAAACCCGTTTCTCCAACGGCCACGCGCCCCGTCGAATCGCTGTGGAACCGCGCCGGGAACTGGGTGAACGAGAACTATGGCATTAGGCACGCGCAGGCGCGACAGCTGCTCGGCGCATTAGATAAGGGAGGAAGGGTAGAAGGGGTACCGTAGGGAGCCAGGATCAGGATCGATTGTCGATCCCTGTTTACCTTTGCTCGCCATGTGTAAACGGTATAATAATGCAAATTGCAGGCCAGGTGCAATTCAGACAACAGCAGGCATCCAGGCAGCCACACACGCACACGGTCAGAGCCAGAGAAGACGGGAGACAAGAGAAGGTAGCAAAGAGGGGGAAAGGGAGAGAGGTGGAGGGAGCAGGCGGTGGAGGTTAGCGGTAAGGAGCAGACAGACAAACTGATTGCAACTGAAGTTTATAGCACTGTCATTGAGGGCTTTACGAGTATTGTCCCAGCACAGCACACGCTAGAGAACGGTCTCAATTGAGTTTCCCTGAATTCAAGCGGCGGCAGGGTGGCTTACGAGGGTGCGGGTGGAGTTCTGGTTGCCACGCTGCGATCGCGGCAGGTGGTGGTATATGCTTTCGCAACAATGGCTCTAAGCAATCAACGATCCTCGAGGGCAAAGCCACAGGGTATGTTTAACGGTTTTTTTTAAGGGGTGAGAAGAGAGGGAGGTTCTGTGAGTAGTGGACACATGGCAGTTACTCCTATGATCATAAGAATTACTGGGTGATTTCTATTAATACATATTTAGCTTAAGCGCAGTTAAACTTCAGGCTTCTACAATGTTTAAAAGTGTATTTTGATAGGATTCCCACTTCAATCTTTTAGCAACCACTTCAAAAATACTTGTGTGCTCGAGTAGGATACTGTTATTCCTTCAGCTGTCAGTGCCCCATATTCCTTTGTGATTGGGGAATACTAATCCATATCTAAGAAACCCTAGAAAAGATGCGCCCCCGAAATAACAGAGTAGACGAAGACCTTCAAATAGGAGGCAAGACTAGTTTGGGCTTTGTTTTGTTTTGGGCACTCTGAGGCTCCTTTTTAAGGCTTCTGCTGGGAAATGCAGAGAATCTTAATCAAAAAGAATTTCTTAGAAGTTATTTGTTTTATGGGGTGGAAGGGATAGGGATAGGGATATCTAAGAACTTTTGTTTGGATTTGCGCCTTTTTCGGAACCGGAATCTCTTTCAGGTTTTTGGCATTGTTCAGGACACAACCACCACCGTGTAGCGTATATACATATGTATGTATGTACATAGTTCCGTCTAACCCAAAATCACTCGGTAATTTTCGTTGAAGTGCACTCACACTATAAAACCCAGACACAGCCTCAGGTATTCAATAGCTGATATGCGAAAATAACAAACACACAACCCAAAGAGGGAACCGATAAAGCAGCCAGCAGCAGGGAAGCACTGGAACCCTGATGTGTTGAGGTTGAGGTTGAGTTTGAGTCGCAAATACAGCTGCCGGTGAAGAGGGATAGCGAGAGGAAAGGGTCTGGTCTGGGAAAGGTTCGTTCACTGCCCGCAGAAATTGGAGCAATCAATGCTCCTCGGCTTCGCCTTCCTACTGGGAAGTGCCCGAATTGTCGTGCATCTGCATCTGCGACTGCCCCCAGCCCTTGAGCAGGTTCGGAAACAGGTAGGAGAGTGTATTTGTGTAATCCAATACCCGAAACTCACTTCCACAGAAAATAAACCAAGGATCGGGTCAAGGATCGTTTTCCATGTTCCACATTTCATTCCCATCGCACATTAGAACAAGCTGTTGGGAATTATGAGTATGGGAAAGGCACCGGATCGATCTAAGTGGCGGCATATGCAAAGTGTCCAATTACCGAAGGGAAATGCACCAGCTGCTCCTACCGTACTACTGCTCCTGTTGTCCCCGACAGGATGTGCACTTTGAGAGAGAGCGGAAAAACAGCGAAAACTTTCGGAGAGCGCTGGGATGCTGTGGGAGCTACCTTTACCTGTCGGCCTGTCGGCTTGTCGTGCCACCCTTTTGCTGAGCCCCAGACTCTGGCGGAGTTCATCCCCTTTTAACCCAAAAACTCGCACACACATGCAAATACTCTCAGGCACACACGCGTACTCCCACACATACAAGGGGCAGAGAACTTTTGCCGAAGGACGTTGTAACGGTGCTGCTGCTGCTGCTGCTTTCATGCTGTTGTTGCAAGACGATGACTCATCTGACGAGCCGTGTACAAATATCGATTTTTGTTAGATGGGAAAAATCCATACTCCATACCTGAAACTTGAATTTCGCCTGGATCAACTGCACTATGTTGGGCCCGGAGCGCGGCTCGTAGATATTGATGGTCTGATTCGTGTGGCATCCGCAGATGAGGCAGGTGCGCTTCAGGTATTCCGAGGAGGCGGATTTTTGGGCGGTGGCCACTGCTGCGGCTGGCTCCACTTGGTGATGGTTGTTGGCAGACATTTTGGCGACACTTGCAACTTCCTCGATACGCTTTTCGCACTGACACACGTCCTCGTCGGCCTTTGACGTCACTACAGAACTAACGGTAACTCGAGCTGTAACCGTAGTTGCCCAACGTAACTGTAACTGTGTCCGCCGGGGGTGGGTTGGTGGCGCGAAACGAGGCAAACAAAAAGGTCGTATACCACCGAATCGCACAGAGAGAGAAGAGAGCGAGCACGTACGGAGAGACGGAGCAGAACGTCCTTTCGATTCCACGCACAAATTTTGAATGTGGCACGAACGAGCCCGATGTGGCACGTTTGTCTTCGGTTCTCGTTTTCTTCTTTGCTGTGCTCTTCGGTGAAGTATGTTTTTTAAAGGTATCGCAACAGGCAGGTAGGGTTTTGGTGCCCTATATACCTTGGGAGGACTTCGAACATCGCTGCCCGCTGTTTCTGGACTGGGTTTGAATAGCGAATACTGAGGGCATTGCCAACATATGTTCATATTCGAGGAAACGAAATGCCAGCATAAATATTTAGGCAATCGTGCTGAAAATTATTTGAACATACTGTAGCTATTATTTCAACTTATTTAGTTACAGAATCGTAATTGATTAGTTTTCTGTACTTAAAGTGTAAACGTAGAGTGGAAGGGAATGGGAATATTTTGTAAAATCATAACTTGATATTCCTTTGAACACCCAATTTGTCAGGATTAGGGAATTATTATCGATCCCCAAATATTTTGACAACCCCTTGCTTACTTGACCTATCTGAACTTTTGCCACTCGAGTTACCTCTTTAGGCTCGGGGTTCCTAAGCCCCACGAGCAGCTGCTGCTGCTGCTGTTGCCCAGCGACAATACTCCAAATTTAATGTGTCGGCCGGCTTCCTCAACTACGACTTATCATTATGGAAGACACGGCAACACCGTGTGGCATGGAGCATGGAGCATGTGTGCATTGTGGGCTCATCAACAGGCTGTCTGTCCCTGTCCCCATCTCAGCTCTGACTGTGCCTCTGCCTCTGCCTCCGACCGCCACTGCGACTGCGACTCATCCATGCACCGACAGCGACATCGGCAGCGACAACAGACGGCAGCTGCTGCTGCCGCTGCCTCAAAATACTCGTACAAAAGGTGCGTTTTGGTTTTTTGTTTCTCATCTTTTTTTCGGGCAACTCAATCATATGTTCTCTGTGCCATGAATCGTTTTTGAGCCAATGTTGCAGCTTGCAACCGGATTGTTTCTTTATGCTGGCCCGGCGACAGATGTTTTCTTCCTTTTCTCTCGTTTTTACCTTCTTCGCCTTTGCGACTTCTTCGTTTTGCGCCTCCACCTTGATTTCGGGGACTGGGTTACGTTGCGCCTCCTGCCGCTACTTTTACTCGCCTCGCACTACGCGTCTTGGGTCTATAGTAAACAGAGGAGTAAAACACTCCACTCACTAACCCTCGATTTTGTTCATGAATGAATTGATGAATGGTCGATGGGCGCTGGCTGGCTGGGAAGGAGTCGCCGAACGAGCAGCGGAACGAACGCATCCTCTCATTCGTTTTTCTTGGCATATGCGTAGCAAATTTCCATATCTGGAAGAAATCTGGCAAGGAAGTAGCCAAGCTGCTGGTGGCTGGGATCGGGACCGTGACCGGGGTTAACCGGAAGAGCAAAGTTTATTATAATCTAAAGATTCGAAAATCAAACGCGGTAATCGAATTATTGTAAATTTAAACACATATTCGCCAACTGCCAACAACAAGATATACATATTTTGAATAAAGCTTTTAAGACTTTAAAGGTGTTAACTTATAAAGATATGTATATGTAATTATCTAATGTGATTAATTAACCATTATTTTATTTTCTAATTTATTCAATGTCTGTGACATCAATTGGGACATGGGACAACAAGCCGAAGTGTGCTAAGCTTGAATCCCAAGAAAATCCCCTCCCGCCAATCCGATCGCAGCCGCATGACGAGCTACGCATATAACCGAACCGGTCGCATACATACATAAAAGATAGATGTTAAAATTCGAGGAAAATCAATATATCACAAAACTCCAATTAAAATAAATTTTAAATTAATATTTTCCAGTTGGATAATTTAAATTTGAATTTAAAATCGCCCGTTGGACTTGGAGTGACGCCATCTGTGGTTGAATATTCAAAGACCCATCTATCAGGGGTCGCCACTGAGAAAAGTAGAAAGGCTGTGTCGCTATGTAGAAAGAACGTATAAATCATGTACCAACATTTAAGGTTTTACATCTGACATCTTATTTTTCCTAAGGTTTTCAGTAAGACACCAACACACACACACAATATATCCATGTATGCCGGCTACAGTAAACCTACCCAGTTTAGCCGCTGAAACTGCATATTTTGTACCCTAATGTGAATGGGATCAAGTTACATTTATAGAAAACTAATTATATGCATAAATAGGTATAAAACATGTCATGAGGGCTCGCACACAGCAAAGCGGAGCCAATATTAAAGAAAACTGACCAATTTTGCAGATAAAAATATGTATATGTTTAGTGTTGAGGCTCAAAATTAACTAGTAATACTAAACCGCATATTAAAATCGAGGAATATAATTTTCGATCAGTGATTAAATTTAACTTTTTCACTATTCTCCTTCTGCTGGACCACCATAAACAGACCGATATATGCTATGACTATCAAGTAACGTTCCCGATCTGTAGGATCTTTCTTTCCCGCCAGTTTCCGGCTATAGAACTTCTATTAATATCCCGATATCAAGACTACTACATCAACTTTCGTAACCCATGCATTCGGCTCGAAAGTCGAGTGGAAATCACAACAAAAGATTAATTCTCAATGTCGTCACCCGCTGCCAGAGCATTACCTTCTCCTTCGACTCTCACTTCGGAGTGTACCTCCTTTGGCCACGTTTCTCACGGCCCACCAAGGAGTTACGTGTGTACGTATGTTATCCCGCTGCTGAGAAACCTGGTAGTAGAAATGGCAATTCGGGAGGCACCTTGGGACTTACTCAATAAGATCGCGCCCCTTGCAACTTGGACCCCCCATACGCACGTGCGAAAGTTGAAGTAGGGCCAGCGGTAGCTATAAAATAATTGACTTGACTTTATAATTGCAACAGACGAACAAGAACGGTGGTTGCGTCGCCTACTGTGCCCGGCCAGCATGAGGTTCCGTGTGGCAGTGGCAGAGCAATGCGGCACCCAGAAACGTCACGATTGGTGCGCGCCCCAGACTCGCTGGTCGCATAAGTCTCTAGGGGATGGAACAGAAGCAACCCTCTGGGGAAAAGGCTCAGTTGCCGGCTAGCTCTGATACATGGATGGATGGAATGGGAGGGCTTGGGTGGCTGTTGCCTCTACCTCTACCTCTCCCGCTTCCTCTCCCCGTTCCGCGCTCTTCGTCGTGGCTTCTCTTCTCTTTTCTCGCTCTCACTGCGACTGCTCTGTGCGAATTCCATTTTGTTTTAAGAGCTTCTGCTTCTGTTTCGGTTGTTTCTGGATGTGTGATGTTATGCCAGAGAGCCAGGCAACGCGACGTTGTGGGCCAAGATGCGGACACCATTCAGTCAGTTGCCGACGCTGAAGGCGCAAGGATATCCGAAGCGCTTGCCAGGATTCCCATCGAAACCAAAACAAACCTCAAGTGGACACGTGTTTGGCGCGAAACGATATCGGCCGATGAACCGAGACCTATACCGATATAGGCATAGGGAAATTGTGTGTTAAAAAGTGATTTGCATAGTGCTAACCCTCCAGAGACGCCTTCATCCTGGCCATGTCCCGACGCAAACAGGCCAAGCCGCGCGCCTGTCTCAAACGTAAGTTGGGCAAACCCAATTGGTTGGTCAGTTGCTCCCCAGTGACCCTGGCCTGACATCGACTCCATGTCCTGTGTCCTGTGCCCTGTGTGCCGTGTATCCATTTGTAGCCGTGTGGGCTGGTGTGTGTGTGCATCTGATTGATTTGCTTTGATAACCCTAGGAGACACATGGACAGGGGCGGATACAGGAAGAGTGGGGATATGGGGAAGTGGGGGTGGACGTGGACACAGCACAGGACACAGCATTACTCTGCCAAAGTTTGCTCGCGGGACCACAAAATGTGACAAATGCAAATGGCCTCCGCCTGCGATGAGGCACCGTCCCTTCCCGTTCCGTCCGATGCTATGCTCCTGCTCCTGCTCCAGCTGAAGCTCCTACTCCGAGGTCTCTCCGCCCGACCGACCATGCTGCAGCTTGCAGGCATTGGCCAATCCCTGGGGACCCACACACCTAACTGTCAGTGATAGAGAGCCAGCGAGAGCAAGAGAGATGGACAGACATGGCAGTGGAGCCCCCAGAGTGGGGTTTTGGTGTAGAGTGTGGGGGCTGTGCGCTCAGAGACCCTGAAAACCCAAACAAACCCCAGAATGAGGTTGAAACATTGAGTGTTCTGGTGAACCAACAAGTAAATGGATAGATATTCTGAGCGGCAACGACTAGCGGATACCCTTTATAGAAACTGCTTTTTGACTGTTATTAACTACAGTATACACATATATTGTTTTTTAATCCCTAAAATCCACTAGCGAAGAAGCATTTGTCATTCACTTTACAAAGTGTAAGCCCGAATTTATAAACTCTATAATACCCTTCACTGCAGGACCATAAAAAGTTGTTTGGCCCAAACGCAGCTTGCAGCTTGGGCATTTTTGTGATCTGCTTGTTGGGGGTTCCAGGGGTTACAGTTCCATTTACTGTTCGTGCTCCTACGGCTGCCGGGCGCCCAGTCAAGGCAACCAAAGTGCCGTTAATTTTTAATACAATTTCAAATTGTGTCAGTGTAAATAACAGCAGAGAGATGCGGCAGAAACAGCAGAGAACGGCAACAACAATGATAACAAATAAAATTGACAATAAATCCAATGCACACATGTGCATGCAGCATGGGGCATGGGGCATGGGGCATGGGGTAGAGTGGGGGGGTGTGTGGAGAAGGGTATGGAATGCGGGATGGGCTAGGGGATCTGGTCTGCTCGAAGCCCCCAAAGACAGCTGGCGCACACACAAATTTACACAAACACAGAGACACAGAGAGCGAGAGCGAGAGATATCCTCATGCTGGGGCACGAGAATTTCCCCAAAGTATAAAAAAACGAACTTTGGCTTTGCTCTTTTTCTGCTCTTCTCTCACTCGCTCGCTCTCTCTGTCTCTCTTTCTCTCTGCCTCGTTCTGCCCC